ATTAGGTGCATATATATTCATAAATCTTATATCCTCTTGGTGGAATATCTCTTTTATCATCATATACTGCCCCTCTTTGTCTCTCATTGTATTTTTTACTTTTAAGTCTGCTTTGTCTGATATAAGTATGGCAAAACCTGCTTTCTTTTGCTTGCCATTTTCTTGGAGTATAGTCTTCCATCCTTTCACTCTGAGCCTATGTTTGCCTTTAAAGCTGAGATGTGTTTCCTGGAGGTGACATAGTGTTGGGTCTTGTTTTTTAATCCATTCATCCACTCTGTATCTTTTGCTTGGAGAATTCAATCCATTTACATTTAGAGTTATTATTGATATATGAGGGCTTAATACTGCCATTTTACCTCTTGTTTTCCAGTTGTTCTGTTTCCGTTGTTTCTTTACCTTCGTATTTCTGACTGACATTTCAGTTTGGTGGTTTTTCTGTAATAGTTTTCTCTTTATTTATGATTTGTGGCTCTCCTTTGTTTTTTTGTTTTGAGGTTACCATGAGGTTTGTATAAATAATCTCATAGATGAGATAGTCACTTTTCTGATAGCCTCTTATCTCCATTAGCCTAAGCAGGTTCCATCCCTTTCCTCTTCCCCTTCTGAGTTATTGTTGTCACAAATTGTTATTTTTTGTGTTGTGAGTTTGTGACTAAATTGAAGTGTTCATAGTTGTTTTGTTTTTGATGCTTTATTTCCCATTATCTTTTATGTTATAATTAAGTGTTTACTAATCTATTCTGATATAGAGCTGCAATTTTCTGATTTTATCTTTTTATCTCTTTACTTAAGATTTTGTAAACCTTTGCTTTTTAGTTTCAGATGGGAGGGCTCCTTTCAACATTTCTTGTAAGGCAGGGCTAGTGGCCTTGAACTTCCTCAGCTTTTGTTTATCTGGGAAAGCTTTTATTTCTTCATCACATCTGAAGGATGATTTCCCTGAATAGAATATTCTTGGCTGAAAGTTTTTGTCTTACAGTAGTTTGAATATATCATTCCATTCTCTCCTAGCCTGTAAGGTTTCTGCCAAGAAATCTGCTGAAAGCCTGATAGTGGCTCCTTTATACATCATTTTCTTCTACCTTGCTGCCCTTAATATTTTTTCTTTGTCATTGACTTTTGACAGTTTTACTATTACATGCCTTTGGGAAGGTCTTTTTGCATTTATGTAATTAGGAGTTCTATTGGTTTCATGTACTTGTCCATGCAGTTCCTTCCCCAGTTTCGGAATTTCTCAGCTATTAGTTTTTTGAACAGGCTCTGCTCCTTTCTCCTTCTCTTCTCCCTCTGGAATACCTATAATACTTATTTTGCTTTTTCTAAGTGAATTGGATATTTATCAAAGAATTTCTTCATTTTAAAAAAATCTTAGTCTCTCTCCTCTTCCACCTGAAGTATGTCTATATTTCTATCCTCTAAATCGCTAATCCTGTCCTCCATAATGTCAGCTCTATTTTTTATGGTTTCTCAATTATTTTTTATCTCATTAATTGTGTTCTTCATATCCAGAATTTCTGTTTGGTCTTTTTTAGAGGCTCAGTCTCTTTGGTGAAGTAGTCCTATTCCTCATTAATTTTATTTATGAGCTCATTGAACTGTCTTTCTGAGTTTTCTTGTAAATCTTTGAGTTTCTTTATAACAACTATTTTGAATTCTCTGTCATTTAGATTGTACATTCCTCTGACTTCTGCATTGGTTTTTGAAGACTTGTAATTTTCCTTCTGCTCTGAATTGTTACCATAATTCTTCAGGGTGTTTGATTAATTGATCCTTTGCCAGTGTGTTTGTGGTAGTAACAGGTTGCAGATTCCACCTACCACCACTGGAGGTGGGGAAGTAGGTGTGTTTTCAGATCCACCCTGTCTACTGGAAATTGTGATGGTAGGGCTGCTCTGCATTTGCATGCTGGCCACAGCCACTTGGAGGGTCACATATACACTGTGATCCACTGGTGGGTCACTCTCCTGAGTGTGGGACCATTGCACTTGGTAGGGGACTGACTGTGCTGCCTTGTCAGGTGGGGGGGGCAGCTTTCTTTCACACGCAGGCTGGCTCAGCACTTGTGGGCATTTCAGGTGAGCTGCTGCTCTTTGTAGCTGGGGCTGCTTCATGGAGGCTGAGCTGCTGCTACTCAGTGGGGAGCATTCTCATGGGTGGTCCACCACTGGATGGTGAGTGGTCCTGTTGGCTGGGCTATCACTCTGAAAGTGTTCGCATACAGGCTGGGCCACTTCAGCCTCCTCTTACAGTTGTGCAAGCTGCTGTGTCAGGACCTGTGACCCTGATTGCTGGAAAGGGGGAGGTGTCTTCTTACCTAGTTCCACTGCTTCCCAAGGATCCAGTCCACCCATCTTGAGATGTATGGCTGCATGGATCTCTCAGGCATCCTAGTGTTCTGTGTAGGAAATCCTCTGTTGCTTAATGAATGTTTAGTTTTAACCGAGAGAGGAGAGACAAAGGAAACAACTCACTCTGCCACAATGCTGACATCACTCCTTCAATGATTTTTAATAAACTTACCGAGTTATGCAACTATCACCTCAATCCAATTTTAGAACATTTCCATCACTCCAGTAGGATCTCTTGGGCCTGTTTACAGTTAATCCAGAAAGGGGGTTTTAATCTCAGTTGGGCACATGTATTAAAGGGGAAGCAGTGCACATCTGTGGGACAAAGGTATGTCAAGATGGGAACCCCCCTCAAGGGGCATAAAACTATGTGTATCTGAGTTAGTCATTGACATCATGTCATTTCCACTAAGAGTTCCTTTTCATGAGCTTTTCTTTGCTCAAATCTTGGGTGATTGTGTGTTTTAAGAAGGGAGACCATTCACTAATGGGACCTCTTCACCCTTTTATTTTCTAATGTAGCTAGTGCTAAATAATTCTTAGGCAATCAGGAAGCAGTTATGGGCTTGCTGCATGGATAAGAAAGTAGCTAGATGTTCTGGAGATGTTTCTGTTTTCCAGTGTTGTAGAAGAAAAAAGCCATCAGTCATAGCACTGGAGAAGGAAATAGGCAAGGCAAATCTGGAGTCCGAGAAAGAATAGGGATTCCAGCAAATTGGACCCAAGAAGGTACCTAGTAGGTGTCTTCAGCTCTTTGCAACTGTGCCTGATTGCTATTTGTCTACTGCTATGTAGAATTATGACTTTAATCTGCCTGAGTTTTGTATGCCTATATATAGTTAAATTATCTATCAGGATAGACTCTTAGATGTGAAAGGAACTCTAAGTATCATCTATCTTGTCAGATTTATTTATCAATATTTTACACAATTGATGCCGACAGAAGGGAAAAGATTTGCTTAAGGTCACACAACTTGTTAGTAAGAGAAATGGGACTAGAACCTTAGTCTTCTGATACTCAGCCCATCACATCAAATATACAATGCCCTAGAACTAGAAAGAAGCCAGAAACAAGACTCATAAAACAATATCTTAAAGGCAATTAAAAACATCTTGAACTGATTTTTATAATTTCTTTGGGAGGAGATAAACATGTAATATTAAAGGGATAATTATTCCAAATAAATAAACTTACACAAATCCCATTTCAATAATAGTAGATGAATAATTTTTGATGGTATTTAAAAATGTTTCCTATGATAGTTATGCTTTAATAAATGAAATAGTAGGGCCGGCCCTGTGGCTTAGCGGTTGAGTGCTCGCGCTCCACTGCTGGCGGCCCGGGTTCGGATCCGGGCGCGCACTGACACACCGCTTCTCCAGCCATGCTGAGGCCGAGTCCCACATACAGCAACTAGAAGGATGTGCAGCTATGACATACAACTATCTACTGGGGCTTTTGGGGGAAAAAAATAAATAAATAAAAAAAATAAAAAAAAAAAAGAAATAGTAGGTTCTGCATTAGTTTGATGAATGTAGGTATGTGAGACATAGAAGCTGCAAAACATTTATTTTAGCAGATTAAAATGTATTCAGTCCAGTTATCAATCTCAAAGGATATTTTAAATCAAAAGATATTTTCAATAATCTCTAAGAAAGATAAAAATATGAAGGAGACATACTTTGTAGGATGTGGATTCATACTGTACCACAATTTAGTTTTGGTGAAAACTATTTTATATTTTCCATATTTTAAACTATACCTCAAGTTCTAAATTGAACAGCAACCACCTCAGTCAATATTCCATAACATACCACAAATCAGTGCAATACTCAGTGAAAGATAATGTCATTGGACATGCCAAAATTATTAGCTCACATAAAAATTGACACTTTTGTCTAAAATTTATGATTTTCAGTTTTGAAACACAAAGAGAAAACTCTGAAATAGGATATAATGTTTAAACATTTTCAATACAGGTAAGAAACAGTCTTTTGGAATGGAATGGATAATGTCTCCCTTGCAAGATTGCCAAAACAGCTCCTGGAGGATGAATTATGGTAATAAACAAGAGATGCTTCATTTGTAACTAGAAATGGATGTGAACACATAAATTTTCAGAATAAATCATTTTAATAGACCGTGTAAAAATATGAGTCATCATATGTATAATGTTTCATCATTCTGATTAGAGGGGTGATCAACACTGGGTGTGTTTTAAAGAGTTTAGAATGCTAGTATAAAATGGCTCCCCACTTCCCTACTTCTACTCCCAAAGTGCTATAAATTACTATTTTCATACTATCAAAGTAATTATCAGGGCACAAGCCAAACAGCTGAATATGTTACTTTGAAAAAATTACAGTACAGAAGGTTGGTATATGCTTTTTTATTATTTCATATGAATGTAAGTTGACATGTAGAATTGATTTTTCCCACTTTGTTCTAAATAAAATTCCATAATGCTGGTATTCTCTCATACTTCTAAAAAGTTTGCAAAATATTCATTTGAAAAATTAAGGCAGAGAATAGTTTTCATGAGAGGTTTTAGATGGTTGTACATAAAAGTGAAAGTGTTTTTATTGCTAAAATTCACAAATTTAAAATAAAATTATTTCCTAAAAAAATCTCTTCTGCTGTCACATCGATTTTCTTGAAAGTAAGGCAGTTCTTTTGGTATCAGGTAAATGTTTGTAAGGATTTCTACTAAATGAGATTTACTTGTAAGTAAGAATTGAAGTGTATCTAGCAATTTCTATATTTGATGTAATTTATTTTAGAACTTCCTAAAAAAGTAAAAATGCAAAAAAATAGATTAATTGATTAGGAAGTGTTGAATTGCAACAGCACATAGAATGGCAACTAGTGCAAATCCTATCACAAGGATTAGAACAAACGTATCATCACTCATCTCTATCCTGGTCTTTTCATTTTTTTCTTCACTCGGGCTGCTTCTCCCCTTTCCTCCACGGCCTTTGCCAGCCCCTGGCTGTTGCTTATGAGTTGAGAGAAGAGCACTGGGGCTAGATGGTCCCCAGAGCTCTTGTATCCCAGCAGAAGTCTGATATTGGCGTCCAGCACAGACCTTGAAGCGATAATGTGAATTTGGGAGAAAGTTCGAAAAGGAGAATGAAGTGTTCAGTCCTTTGTAAATCTACAGGAAAAGGAGTCAAAGTGAAAATTATATTTTCTTACCAAATAAAATAATATGGTATGGTTTTTGACAACAGAAAATATATGAATGCATCCATTCATTTCATGAATATGTGCACAACAAAAACAGAAGTTTACTCTTACAGTCTCTAATGTCCTGAGGACCCAGTACTGTTTAGGTAATTTTGTTCAATGTAAGAAATAACAAAGACTTATAATTGTTAAACTTTAATTGCATTTGCTTTGGAATGACTTGTGCGTGTGGTCAGCAGAATCTAGAAATGACAAATCATTCAATAGTAATAAGTTAATTAAATGAATAAGCTGATTATTCAAAAATAAGTATTACTTACATGAAACTTCAGGGACCAGATAGGGATTATAGACAATATTTAGTTACTTTAAACATCCTAAAACAATATCTTACTCCTTGACAAGAGCTTAATCCCCAGCAGGATAAAAAACTATAAAATTTTAAAGATTAAATGTGCAAGAATTTACCAGGTCAGTTCCTTTTTCACTGATAAGTTGAAGATTGTAAACAATGGGATCTCCTTTTATTGGCTCCAAAGATTCCCATTTGACCTCGCAAATATTGCTATTCACCTGACGTAATTTAGGTGCTAGAAAAAGAGAATTTCAGTTTAGAGGATTCCATTTGTCCTCGATGGTCTTGAACACATTGAAGTTTCTCATACAATTTTCTATGGTTGTTAAAAGGCTGCCTGTGTAGGCTTAAATCTAAGAAATATATAGTTATAGTTCTTATTGTTAAGCCTTTTGCTACACCATCAGGCATCTTAATAATTATAATAAAAACTTTAAGAACTTAAAACTATCAATTAATAATGCATGTTTCATTTTTCTAGTAAGATCTTATTACAACTTTTATTACTATTGTTTAATCCCAACTGGTATAATCTCTTGCATCATATTTATATGATACATCATACATTTGGAAGCATTTTCACATACATTAATAATTTTATGATCACAGAAACTGTGTAGGGCAGGATGTTTATTTCATGTTATTAATCTCTCTACATTTCAGGAAAACGGGGCTTAAATACATATAAAGAGAACAATGCATTATTGTGGTCTAAGTCGTGTTTAATTCCAATATGTTCCAGTTAGCTTTACACTGAAAACAAAGTATTTCATAATAGTGATTGGACTCCTGTGTGGATGGACTGGAACAACTTTCAAACTGGGAAGGAAAAAATCATCAAAGTTCAAGCTTTCATGACTGCAAATTGGCCTCGTTATATATTATAGACAGCAGTTTATTTTACTGTTCAAAGAAGAGTAAATTCAGAGTTTCAGAAATTACCAAATATGTACTAATTGCCAAATACGATAGTACAAATTTGTACTAAATATGTACCAAATTATAAGTTTACATAGTCTTATTTTTTCAGCTTTAATCAATATAATCACACCTATCAGTTGATGAGTTTTGTGTATTAATCCATTTGAGAAAATATAAAACATAACAAGGAAAGGATATCATGACGAATTTGAAGGAGAACTATGACGAGAATCAGGAGCCTACAATTCTAATTTTGGCTCTGCCATTGGCTCATAGTGTCCTTTAGCTGAGTTACTTACCATTTTGGGGATTTAGTTTCTTCCCCTTAAAAAATGGCAGTGGTGATAGAGTGATTGGCTGGATTGGTTGATCTCAAAGATATTTTTTAAATATTATGATTCTGGGAGTCTCATTAAATTCTACAATGCTCTTTGAATCCATAATTGAGTACTAGTTTCTTTTGGTATTATATTCTTGAATACTTAAAATAAACCTTACTGTGGAGTTTTATATATGAGCTTTTGGAACTCAAATTAATGCAACCTTCATTGTCATGGCTTATAATACTTACCTTTAAGTGTGGCTGGTGGGGTTTTGGTTGTAGTGAAGGTATAGATACCAGACAGTGGTCCCTCACCAGCTTCATTACATGCCTGGATTTTAAATTTGTATTGAGTATATTCACTCAATCTTTGCACTTTGTGAGTCTGACAAGGTCCATTGTAAATGATAGAAAATCTGGGAGTGAGAATTGAGATGGGGGAAGCAATATTATTAATCAACAGTCATACAGGTACAAATAATTCTATATAAATGACTTAGAACTGGTTTTAAAACTTCAATAAGGCCTAAATAAATCAACTTGAAGCCTAATAGGTAAAACACAAAAGAAAAAAAATCAGGCTGTAAATATCATAATAGCAAGGTGTTGGCTTTCATATATCTTTGGTAACTTCTATTCCCTGGTATTAATGTATGTTGTATAAAGAAAGAAGTGTTTTAGAAGAACACAAAAATAGAAAGCTAATGGCCCCGTCGTGTAGTGGTTAAGTGCGCGTGCTCCATTGCTGACGGCCCGGGTTTGGATCCCGGGCATGCACCAATGCACCACTTGTCAGGCCAAGCTGTGGCGGCGTCCCACATAAAGTGGAGGAAGATGCGCACAGATGTTAGCCCAGGGCCAGTCTTCCTCAGCAAAAAGAGGATTGGCATGGATGTTAGCTCAGGGCTGATCTTCCTCACACACACACACACAAATAGAAAGCTAAGTTATCAGTAGAAATTTAAGAAAGCATATCTAACATAATGGGCTGCTTTCACATCTATTAGTTCATTGAAACCACTTTAGATTATAGGATTAATGTAGAAAATTTTAGAACATTCTTGTTATAATACATGTTAAATAGTAAAAATAGTTTACCTGCCAGATCGATCTCCCATTAACAAATTGTAGCTTATAAGGTTGGAAAGTAACCCTTTGCTTGAAGAGTTACCCCATTTCAGTTTGAGGCTCTGGTGTCCACAGACCACACAGTCAAGATGTGGAGGCTCAGGTGGTAGTGGCTTGGTTTTGGCTCTTATTGATTGGCTAAAAGGGCTTAGTCCATAATGATTGATAGCTTGAATTCTGATTCTAGTGGTGAGAAGAAAAAAAACGATTAATTTAGATTTAGAAAAGAAAATAATTTTCTACATTTAAGCTAAACCCCTAGTAACCCTACTTAGGATATTGACCATCATATTATACTAATTATTAGAGACAAATTTTTGAGACAAAAATCTTGAATTTTCATGATCACTACTGACAATTCTTTTTTTTTTTTGTGAGGAAGATCAGCCCTGGGCTAACATCCATGCCCATCTTCCTCTACTTTATATGGGATCCCACCACAGCATGGCTTGACAAGCGGTATGTCAGTCCACGCCCGGGATTCGAACCTGTGAACCCCAGGCTGCCGAAGCAGAGCACGCGAACTTAACCGCTACACCACCGGGCTGGCCCCACTACTGACAATTCTTGATGAGAAGGAGAAAATGGCTGTTAGCAATGCCAAGTTTTTCTAAACAGTGGAACTTTCTTTCAAAGGAAATATTATGTAGACCATATAAAACATACAAATGTAGATTTGCTCAAAGTTTTCAAAAAACTTTCCATCTACCCAGAGTAAGATATAAGCCACTTACTTGTATGTGGTATCAGGCTGTAGATTTTTCAGAAGACATTCTGTTACTCTATCAACAGTCAAAAGTTTTCTGTCTCCATATTCAACGTTATATCCAGTGATTGGAGAGCCATGGCAATCCGGTTCCTCCCACTGAATAGCAATGCAAGATGATGCCAATTTGGCAGGAACTTTGTTTTCAACCTCATGTAGCATTGGTACTACTGCTGGTACAGTTGCTGGTGTGATTACCATACCAGTTCCTCCAAACATTCCAACTCCAACTATATTTACAGCCTGAAAAAGTGTACTCTCTTAGAGATTCATTATTTTTTTGGTGCATAAACCAATTTGTTGCATAAAAACAAAATAAATTTTCTTAAACTCAAGTTCTAACAATATAGTTCTTTTTTAATTTGAGATATAATTGACATATAACATTGTGTAAATTTAAGATGTATAACCTGTTGATTTATATATTGTAATATGAAACAATATAGTTCTAAGATGCTGACATACATGCTGAAATCTTTAGGTTGCATATTTAGGAAGATGAAGAGTCTAAATATGAGAAGGTAAGTGAAGAGTGCTAATATGGACACTTCAGGAAAAATATACCCAAACTGAACTCATCATTTACCCCACTGAACTTTCTTCCTTTTCTTCATCTTGTAGTTTCTGCTGGTGGTAGCCTGAAGTTCACATCCATTCACTAAGTTTCATTGATTTTGTAAAACCTTTTCATTTTGAGATCATTGTAGAGTCACATGTACCCTTTACCTACTTTGCCCCAAAGGTAACATTTTGCATAACTATAGTACAATATTACAATCAGGAAATTGACATTGATAAAATTCATTAGACTATTCAGATTTCACCAGCTTTACATGCACTCATTTGTGTGTGTATTTAGTTCTGTGCAGTTTTATCACTTGTGTAGCTTTATGTGACCACCAACACAGTTAAGATATAGAAGTTCCACTACAAGAATGCCTTGTGCTACCCTTTTATAGCCACAGCAACCTCCCTCCCTCTCCCTTTTTCTAATCTGTGGCAACCAGTAATTTCTTCATCCCTATAATTTTGTCTTTTCAAGAATGTTATATAAATGGAATAATGCAGTATGTAAATTTTTCAGATAGGCTTTTTTTCAGTCAGCATAATCCCCCTGAGATCCATCAAAGTTGTTGTGTGTATCAGTAGTTTGATTCTTTTTATTGCTGAATGGTATGCCATGGTATGGATGTACTACATATTGTTTAACCATTTGCCTGTTGAAGGACACCTTAGCTGCTTCTAGTTTTTGGCTCTTACAAATAAAAGTACTATGAACATCCAGGTACAGGTCTTTATTCTGGACATAAGTTTTCATTTCTTTGGGATAGTGCCCAAGAATGCTGGGCATATAGTAGGTGCATGTTTAGTTTTGTAAGAAACTGCCATAGTCTTTTCGAGAGTGGATTTAATTCCCACTAGAAATGTATGAGTAATCCAGTTTCCCAATCTTTACCAGTATTTAGTGTTATCACTGTTTCTTATTTTAGCCATTCTGATAGGTGTGTCATGGTATCTCACTATGTGTTTCCCTAATGGCTAATGGTGTTGAAGGTCTTTTCATGTGCTTATTTGCCATCTGCATATCCTCTTCTGTGAATTGTCTGTTCACATCTTTCGCCCATTTTCTAACTGAGTTGTTTGGATTTTTAATTGTTGAGTTTGGGGAGTTCCTTTTATATTCTAGATATTAGTTCTTTGTCAGATAAGTGTTTTGTAAAGATTCTTTTTGAGTTTGTAGCTTGTCTTTTCATCCTCTCCACAGGGTCTTATGCAGAGAAAAAGTTTTTAAGTTTGAGAAGGTCAAATTTATCAATTGTTCATTTTATGGCTTGTGATTGTGGTATCTAGATTAAGGACACTTTGCCTAGACTATATCCTGAAGATTTTCTCCTGTGATTTTTTTCTAAAAGTTTTATAGTTTTATGGTTTAATTTTCAGTTTTCTATGACCTATTTTGAGTAATTATTTGTATAACGTGTGAGGTTTAGGTTGATTTTACTTTTTTTTGCCTATAGATATCCAGTTTCTCCAGGGTAATTTGTTAAAAAGGCCATCCTTAACTTATTTGCATCTTGTCAAAAAACAGTTGGGCATATTTGTCTGGGTTTATTTCTGGGTTCTCTCTTTTGTTCAATCAACTTAGGTATCTGACCATACACTAATAAATATACTATTTTGATTACTGTAGTTATATAATAGTATATAGTATACATTAAGTAGAGTCATTTCTTGAACCTTAATTTTTTCTTTCAAGATTGATTTATCTATTCTAGGTCCTGTAACTTTCTATATAAATTTTAGAATGAGATCGCATGTATTGATAAACAATCCTGCTGGGATTTTGATAGGAACTGTATTAAACCTATAAATCAATTTGGGGGAAACTGACATCTTTACTATGTCAAGTCTTTTCAATCTATGAACATGATATGTCTCTCTAGTTACTTAAGTATTTTTGATCAATCAACATTTTGTAATTTTCAGCATACATGTACAGTACATGGTTTGTTGGATTTATACCTAAATATTTCATTTTCTTTGGACTGATCATAAATCGTATTGTGTTTTTTAAAAATTATTTTATCGAGGTCATATTGGCTTATTTTGTGTAAATTTCAGGTGTACGTTATTATGTTTCAGTTTCTGTGTAGACTGCATCGTGTTCACCAACAATAGTCTAGTTTTTATCCCTCACCATACATATGTGTCCCTTTACCCCTTTCACTCTCCCCCCACCCCTTTCCCTCTAGTAACCACTAATCTGTTCTCCTTGTCTATGTGTTGGTTTATTTTCCACATATCAGTGAAATCATATGGTATTTGTCCTTCTCTGTCTGACTTATTTGGCTTAGTATAATACCCTTAAGGTCTATCCATGTTGTTGCAAATGGGACAATTCTGTCTTTTTTATGGCTGAGTACTATTCCATTGTGTATATATACCACATCTTCTTTATCCATTCATCCCTTGATGGGCACTTGGGTTGCTTCCACATCTTGGCTATTGGGAATAACACTGTGATGAACATAGGGATGCATAAATCTCTTTGAGTTGTTGATTTCATGTTCTTTGGCTAAATACCCAGTAGTGGGATAGCTGGATTGTATAGCATTTCTATTTTTAATTTTTTGAGAAATCTCCATATTGTTTTCCATAGTGGCTGCACCAGTTTGCATTCCCACCAGCAGTGTATGAGGGTTCCATTTTCTCCACATCCTCTCCAGCATTTGCTATTTCTTGTCTTGTTAATTATAGCTATTTTGACAGGTGTAAGGTGATATCTCATTGTAGTTTTGATTTGCATTTCCCTAATAATTAGTGGTGATGAACATCTTTTCACGTGCTTGTTGGCCATCTGTATATCTTCTTTGTAAAAATGTCTGTTCATATCATCTGCCCATTTTTGATTGGGTTGTTTGTTTTTTGTTGTTGAGTTGTATGAGTTCTTTATATATTTTGGAAATTAAGCCCTTGTCAGATACATGGTTTGCAAACATTTTCTCTCAGTTGGTGGCTTGTCTTTTCATTTTGTTGATGGTTTCCTTTGCCTTGCAGAAAGTTTTTAGTCTGATGTAATCCAATTTGTTAATTTTTTTCTTCTGTTTCCCATGCCTGAGTAGAGATGGTATTCGAAAAGATGCTGCTAAGACCGATGTCAGAGAGTATCCTGCCTATATTTTCTTCTAGGAGTTTTATGGTTTCATGTCTTACATTCAGGTCTTTAATCCATTTTGAGTTAATTTTTGTGTATGGTATAAGATAATGGTCTACTTTCATTTTATTTTTCTTTTTTTGGGTGAGGAAGATTGGCCTTAAGCTAACATCCATTGCCAATCCTCCTCTTTTTGCTGAGGAAGATTAGCCCTCAGCTAATGTCTGTGCCCATCTTCCTCTATTTTGCATATGGGATGCTGCCACAGCATAGCTTGATGAGCAGTGCATAGGTCTGTGCCTGGGATCTGAACCTGCAAACCCCGGGCCATGGAAGCAGAGCATGCGAACTTAACCACTACGCCACCGGGCCAGCCCCAGCTTTCTTTTTTTTTTTTTGATAATTTTATTTATTTTTTTCCCCCAAAGTCCCAGTAGATAGTTGTATGTCATAGCTGCACATCCCTCTAGTTGCCATATGTGGGATGAGGCTCCAGCACGGCCAGAGAAGCTGTGCGTCGGTGCGCGCCCGGGATCCGAACCTGGGCCACCAGCAGCGGAGCGCGCGCACTTAACTGCTAAGCCACGGGGCTGGCCCCCCAGCTTTCATTCTTTAGCATGTGGCTGTCCAGTTTTCCCAGCACCGTTTATTTGAAGAGATTTTCCTCTTTCCATTGTATGTTCTTGGCTTCTTTGTCAAAAATTAGCTGTCTGTAGATGTGTGAGTTTATTTCAGGGCTCTCAATTCTGTTCCATTGATCTGTGTGATTTTGTGCCAGTACCATGCTGTTTTGATTACTATAGCTTTGTAGTATATTTTGAAATCAGGGAGAGTGATACTTCCAGCTGTGTTCTTTTCTCACAGGATTTTTTGTAGGGTCTTTTGCTGTTCCACATAAATTTTAGGATTTTTTGTTCTATCTCTATGAAAAATATCATTAGAACTTTGATAGGTATTGCATTGAATCTACAGATTTCTTTAGGAAGTATGGATGTTTTAAATATGTTAATTCATCCAATCCATGAGCATGGAATATCTTTCCATTTCTCTGTGTCTTCTTCTATTTCTTCCAACAATGTTTTATAGTTTTCAGTGTACAGGTCTTTCACCTCCTTGGTTAAATTTATTCATAGGTATTTTATTCTTTTTATTGCGATTGTAAATGGGGTTTTATTCTTAATTTCTCATTCTGCTATTTCATTGTTAGTGTATAGAAATGCGGCTGATTTTTGTATTTGATTTTGTATCTTGCAACTTTAATGTATTGGTTTATTATTTCTAAAAGTTTTCTGTGGATTCTTTAGAGTTTTCTATATAAACTTTCATGTCAGTTGAATGTTTTTCATGTCAGTGACAGTTTTGTTTCTTTCTCTCCAATATGGACCCCTTTCATTTCTTTTTCTTGCTTGATTGCTCTGACTCGCACTTCCGATACTATGTTAAATAAGAGTGGTGAACGTGGGCATCCTTGTCTGGTTCTCCTTCTTACAGGGGTAGCTTTCAGTTTTTCACTGTTGAGTATGCTATTAGCTGTGGGTTTGGCATATATGGCCTTTATTATGTTGAGGAACTTTCCTTCTATTCTCGT